TTTTTAATTTTTGCCATTTTTCGCAAAAAAAGTGATGCAACCCCTGCAAAAAATGAAAAAATTGGTCAAAAAATAAATTTTCCTAAAAATGATGAGGATCGTTAGCATTTTAAGCAAGCTGTTCAAAACAGTCGGTCTTTTAGCTGTACGCCTTAATTTGGCTGAGCTACGATGGAAAAATCGAAAAAAAATTCCGCATTTTTGACAAAAATCTGAACTTCGTATTTTTGACAACAATTTAAACCCTTTTTTTCACCAAAAAAGTTCAGTTTTTTGGCTGCTGTAACAAAAGTATAAGTCGGAACGAGAAATGTCATACCTCGCTGAACTCGTTGCTTAATTTCCAATCTATTGACATTTTAACCTGAAAATTTTTAATTTTTGCCATTTTTCGCAAAAAAGTGATGCAACCCCTGCAAAAAATGAAAAAATTGGTCAAAAAATAAATTTTCCTAAAAATGATGAGGATCGTTAGCATTTAAAGCAAGCTGCTCAAAACAGTCGGTCTTTTAGCTGTACGCCTTAATTTGGCTGAGCTACGATGGAAAAATCGAAAAAAAATTTCACATTTTTGACAAAAAACTGAACTTCGTATTTTTGACAAAAATGTGAACCCTTTTTTTCACCAAAAAAGTTCAGTTTTTTGGCTGCTGTAACAAAAGTATAAGTCGGAACGAGAAATGTCATACATCGCTGAACTCGTTGCTTAATTTCCAATCTATTGACATTTTAACCTGAAAATTTTTAATTTTTGCCATTTTTCGCAAAAAAGTGAGCAACCCCTGCAAAAAATGAAAAAAATTGGTCAAAAAATAAATTTTCCTAAAAATGATGAGGATTGTTAGCATTTTAAGCAAGCTGCTCAAAACAGTAAGTCGAAAAAAAATTCGCATTTTTGACAAAAATCTGAATTTTGTATTTTTGACAAAAATGTGAACCCTTTTTTTCACCAAAAAAGTTCAGTTTTTTGGCTGCTGTAACAAAAGTATAAGTCGGAACGAGAAATGTCATACATCGCTGAACTCGTTGCTTAATTTCCAATCTATTGACATTCTAACCTGAAAAGTTTTTTTTTTTGCCATTTTTCGCAAAAAAGTGATGCAACCCCTGCAAAAAATGAAAAAATTGGTCTAAAAATAAATTTTCCTAAAAATAATGAGGATCGTTAGCATTTTAAGCAAGCTGCTCAAAACAGTCGGTCTTTTAGCTGTACGCCTTGATTTGGCTGTATTTTTCGTATTTTTGACAAAAATGTGAACCCTTTTTTTCGCCAAAAAAGTTCAGTTTTTTGGCTGTTATAACAAAAGTATAAGTCAGAACGAGAAATGTCATACCTCGCTGAGCTCGTTGCTTAATTTCCAACATTCTAACCTGAAAAGTTTTTTTTTTTTGCCATTTTTCGCAAAAAAGTTATGCAACCCCTGCAAAAAATGAAAAAATTGGTCTAAAAATAAATTTTCCTAAAAATGATGAGGATCGTTAGCATTTTAAGCAAGCTGCTCAAAACAGTCGGTCTTTTAGCTGTACGCCTTGATTTGGCTGAGATACGATGGAAAATCGAAAAAAAATTTCGCATTTTTGACAAAAATCTGAACTTCGTATTTTTGACAAAAATGTGAACCCTTTTTTTCACCAAAAAAGTTCAGTTTTTTGGCTGCTGTAACAAAAGTATAAGTCGGAACGAGAAATGTCATACCTCGCTGAACTCGTTGCTTAATTTCCAATCTATTGACATTTTAACCTGAAAATTTTTAATTTTTGCCATTTTTCGCAAAAAAAGTGATGCAACCCCTGCAAAAAATGAAAAAATTGGTCAAAAAATAAATTTTCCTAAAAATGATGAGGATCGTTAGCATTTTAAGCAAGCTGTTCAAAACAGTCGGTCTTTTAGCTGTACGCCTTAATTTGGCTGAGCTACGATGGAAAAATCGAAAAAAAATTCCGCATTTTTGACAAAAATCTGAACTTCGTATTTTTGACAACAATTTAAACCCTTTTTTTCACCAAAAAAGTTCAGTTTTTTGGCTGCTGTAACAAAAGTATAAGTCGGAACGAGAAATGTCATACCTCGCTGAACTCGTTGCTTAATTTCCAATCTATTGACATTTTAACCTGAAAATTTTTAATTTTTGCCATTTTTCGCAAAAAAGTGATGCAACCCCTGCAAAAAATGAAAAAATTGGTCAAAAAATAAATTTTCCTAAAAATGATGAGGATCGTTAGCATTTAAAGCAAGCTGCTCAAAACAGTCGGTCTTTTAGCTGTACGCCTTAATTTGGCTGAGCTACGATGGAAAAATCGAAAAAAAATTTCACATTTTTGACAAAAAACTGAACTTCGTATTTTTGACAAAAATGTGAACCCTTTTTTTCACCAAAAAAGTTCAGTTTTTTGGCTGCTGTAACAAAAGTATAAGTCGGAACGAGAAATGTCATACATCGCTGAACTCGTTGCTTAATTTCCAATCTATTGACATTTTAACCTGAAAATTTTTAATTTTTGCCATTTTTCGCAAAAAAGTGAGCAACCCCTGCAAAAAATGAAAAAAATTGGTCAAAAAATAAATTTTCCTAAAAATGATGAGGATTGTTAGCATTTTAAGCAAGCTGCTCAAAACAGTAAGTCGAAAAAAAATTCGCATTTTTGACAAAAATCTGAATTTTGTATTTTTGACAAAAATGTGAACCCTTTTTTTCACCAAAAAAGTTCAGTTTTTTGGCTGCTGTAACAAAAGTATAAGTCGGAACGAGAAATGTCATACATCGCTGAACTCGTTGCTTAATTTCCAATCTATTGACATTCTAACCTGAAAAGTTTTTTTTTTTGCCATTTTTCGCAAAAAAGTGATGCAACCCCTGCAAAAAATGAAAAAATTGGTCTAAAAATAAATTTTCCTAAAAATAATGAGGATCGTTAGCATTTTAAGCAAGCTGCTCAAAACAGTCGGTCTTTTAGCTGTACGCCTTGATTTGGCTGTATTTTTCGTATTTTTGACAAAAATGTGAACCCTTTTTTTCGCCAAAAAAGTTCAGTTTTTTGGCTGTTATAACAAAAGTATAAGTCAGAACGAGAAATGTCATACCTCGCTGAGCTCGTTGCTTAATTTCCAACATTCTAACCTGAAAAGTTTTTTTTTTTTGCCATTTTTCGCAAAAAAGTTATGCAACCCCTGCAAAAAATGAAAAAATTGGTCTAAAAATAAATTTTCCTAAAAATGATGAGGATCGTTAGCATTTTAAGCAAGCTGCTCAAAACAGTCGGTCTTTTAGCTGTACGCCTTGATTTGGCTGAGATACGATGGAAAATCGAAAAAAAATTTCGCATTTTTGACAAAAATCTGAACTTCGTATTTTTGACAAAAATGTGAACCCTTTTTTTCACCAAAAAAGTTCAGTTTTTTGGCTGCTGTAACAAAAGTATAAGTCGGAACGAGAAATGTCATACCTCGCTGAACTCGTTGCTTAATTTCCAATCTATTGACATTTTAACCTGAAAATTTTTAATTTTTGCCATTTTTCGCAAAAAAAGTGATGCAACCCCTGCAAAAAATGAAAAAATTGGTCAAAAAATAAATTTTCCTAAAAATGATGAGGATCGTTAGCATTTTAAGCAAGCTGCTCAAAACAGTCGGTCTTTTAGCTGTACGCCTTGATTTGGCTGAGCTACGATGGAAAAATCGAAAAAAAATCCGCATTTTTGACAAAAATCTGAATTTTGTATTTTTGACAAAAATGTGAACCCTTTTTTTCACCAAAAAAGTTCAGTTTTTTGGCTGCTGTAACAAAAGTATAAGTCGGAACGAGAAATGTCATACCTCGCTGAACTCGTTGCTTAATTTCCAATCTATTGACATTTTAACCTGAAAATTTTTAATTTTTGCCATTTTTCGCAAAAAAGTGAAAAAATTGGTCAAAAAATAAACTTTCCTAAAAATGATGAGGATCGTTAGCATTTTAAGCAAGCTGCTCAAAACAGTCGGTCTTTTAGCTGTACGCCTTGATTTGGCTGAGATACGATGGAAAAATCGAAAAAAAAATTTCGCATCTGAACTTCGTATTTTTGACAAAAATGTGAACCCTTTTTTTCACCAAAAAAGTTCAGTTTTTTGGCTGCTGTAACAAAAGTATAAGTCAGAACGAGAAATGTCATACCTCGCTGAGCTCGTTGCTTAATTTCCAATCTATTGACATTCTAACCTGAAAAGTTTTTTTTTTTTGCCATTTTTCGCAAAAAAGTGATGCACCCCAACAAAAAATGAAAAAATTGGTCAAAAAATAAATTTTCCTAAAAATGATGAGGGTTGTTAGCATTTTAAGCAAGCTGCTCAAAACAGTCGGTCTTTTTGAAGTACGCCCTAATTTGACTAAGCGACGATTGTAAAGGACAACTTTTGACTGAAATCGGAATTCCAAAAAACATTCATGTTCATTAACATTTTCATATTACCAAGGGCTCTACTCAGAAATATGAAAATGAATTCTTTATTTTACTGCGTAGACATCGAACAGTTTTTTTTGTGTGTCTTTAGGTCTTCTTTACTTCGATTTGTAATTGATTAGGGGCTTGAGTTGGTAGGACCTTCGCCTACTTTAGAGGAAGATGCCTAGGACATCACGCATTCCATTGGAGTTTCTGACTTCCCCTAACTAGCCACAGAGCTCCCAGGATACTCCGCTTCCAACGGCTCCACCACACCATTCGAATCAAATTTATCCTTTTCGGCCGACGGGGCACTGAAGAACATTTACGTACTCATGTGGAATCGTAGCTGGCTGATGAGGTGATTTGTATAAAATATTACTTAAAAAGGAAGAACGCTATAGTCGAGGGCGTCGACTATCAGATACCCCTTACTCAGCTAAAGGGAGCAAAGCAGATGGAGATATGCAAGGACTAAACCGACTTTATCCCAAAAATTATACATATCTGAGTCCCAAAACGACACCACGTGATATTTATTTAACTGCGTTAACATCAGTTATTTTCTTGTGTATATTCGGGTCGTCTTTTCTTCGGTTTCTGAGTGCTTAGGAGCTTAGGTTGGTAGGACCTTCGCCTACTTTCGAGGAAGATGCCTAGGACATCACGCATACCATTGCTTCGGAGGGTGGAGATTCTGACTTCTCCTGACTTGCCATAGAACTCCCAGGACCCTCCGCTTCCGACGACTCCACCACACCATTCAAGTCCACACCCTCCACACTATACTCTTCGGCCGACGGTTCTAAGACCGGGCCACTGAAATGGTTTTTATGAAATTAAATAATGAAATTTGGATAATTTGCCAAGTTAACTTAAGATGGCTTACCAGGGCGAAAGGAGTTCAGAAGACGTGTCTGCTCCTAATGGTTCATCTATCTCAGGATCTTCTACGGGCATTGGGGCCCTAAATTGAAGAAACCCACGTTATAAGTATGCAAAGCACTCTAGCTGCTCAGCCTAAAATGAAAATATCTGTTCCGTCCTACCTGTCAGAAGACTTGGACTTCTTGCGGCGCTTCTTCTTGCGCTTGCGCTTGCGGCTTGTGGAGGACCCTTCCTCCTCCTCTTCTGCGTCCTCCGAAGAATACTTCCTTAGGCGCTTCTTCTTCTTACGCCTGTGGCTTGTGGATGGTGCCTCCTCCAATGGTGCCTCCTCCAATGGTGCCTCCTCCATTGGTGCCTCCTCCAATGGTGCCTCCTCCAATGGTGCCTCCTCCAATAGTGCCTCCTCCAATGGTGCCTCCTCCAATGGTGCCTCCTCCAATGATGCCTCCTCCAATGATGCTTCCTCCGACGATGATGCATCCTCCTCCAAGTCCGCCCCGGTGATTCTCTTCATCATTTTGCTGAACAAGAGTTTCAGATATGCCTTGTTTTCCTCTTCCGAAGAATCTTCGAATTCCTTTTCCGGCCGACTCGCCATTGCTCGTTTAAAAAAAATCACAAGTCAGCAGCAGCTACGATTTGTTAATATCAAATGTGAAACTAAATTGTCAGACGTAATATTTTTCAGGAACTCTCGGGTTGCTTCGTTAGCAATTTTCGTTCGACAAGACCTATCTGCTGAAAACCAGAGTTGTCACTCTATAACCTTAAAAAGCCATGGTAACTGTGTGTTAGTTTAGTACCACTGGCGAGCAATATTTATTTTAGAGTCAACTCAGAAAGTATTTTTTAGAATCATAATAAATAATTTAATAATTTTAGGCGTTTAGTTATTATGAAAGATTAAATATTACGTGGTTTACGCAATTTGTCGTTGTCCGATTCGGCACGTTCCTACTTATTTACTACCTGGTATATAAAAAGCCTTTGGGAAAATTTCATCACGATATAATAATGTATAAAACTGAGAGACTAGTTCGCGTAGAAACGGACAGACGGGCGGACATGGCCAGATCGACTCGTCTAGTAATGCTGAGAATATTTATACTTTATGGGTTCGGAAACGTCTCCGTCACTGCGTTGCAAACATCTAACTGAAATCAGTATACCCTCTGCAAGTGCATATAAAGAAAATGGAAAATCTTGAGGAATATTATAAATCTTTGTTTTGTTCAAGACATTTTTTATAAACATATTTTTATTAATTTCAAAATGTAAGTTTGTGTAGTCCTAACTTGAACAATAAAGGGAAGATTTTTAATAAAATAAAAAACAGGGGGTTGATCTCCACAAAGGGCCACTAAAGAATTGCAACTAATGTCAGTTGCTCTGGGTTTACTTTCACCAGTCTCTTGACATTTCCCGACTCACGTTAGTTTCAGTTTTCGAGAGTTTCCTCTTCGCTTTGCCAATGAAAAAAAAACGCTAATTAACACAGCCAACCGCAATTGCAACTTCCTTCTGGCTAAGTGCACGTATGTTCGAGCCACCCTCGACCCCCCACCGAACCACCGACCCCCTGAAGCCGTCAGGCCACCCAAACTACCCCACCACCGCCCCCAGCGAGCCACGTGTGACAGCGAGGGTCGTTCGGTGACAAAGGGCAACTAATTTAGTTTAATGGGCGTCGTGCGCGACTTTGTTGCCCACAGCCGCAGAATTTCTTGCGGCCAACACTTGCCTCAAGGGGCGGCGAAAAAGGGTCCTGAAAAGGGGGCGAATGAAGGGGTATGGAGCGGGGAAGAGGTAGTGCAAGGGGTCAGGGGCCAGCGGGTGGATTGGTGGGCGGTAGGGCGGTTGGGCCACCCTTACGCACTCTCATTAAGCATTTTTAGTCGAGCTTAGCGAGCCGTTTGTTTGCTGTGTCAACTTCACAACTCTGGTCAACTGCACTGAGCAAAAAAAAAATATTTGGTAAAAATAAAAAGACCAAAGCTATTCCACCATAAAATTTCCAGAAAACATTAAAAACAAATACCACTCACATTTATAAACAATTCAAAACATTTAGCCCTGTTCCGGTTGATATTTTCAAAAATTGCATTCCAATTCGATTTGCGATCTGTTAATATATTATCGGTTTTAAAAAATGTTTCTTATTTCTAAGCCAGATCAGATGATACATAAATATTGATTACAATTTTTCCAAGTTTTATAAAAAGGGTTTCGAAGTCAAATCGAATTCAACAAAATAACCCAAAAAGAAAAAAACCAAACAGTCCTGATTAAAAAAATATACTAAAGATATTAATATTATCGGATGGACTTTTAGTAAGTTCTATTTTTTTATTTGAAGCCTGAACTAAAATATAATAAATATCAATTTAATTTTTTATTTATTAAAAGGTTTTAGGAATTTTTTTTTCATTTTCGTTTGCTTAAAATTCCCAACTTGGTTTTCAGAATAAAAATTTTCAAGGGACTTATAATTACCGTTGCAATTACTTACCTTTTCTTGATTTTATATACAATATATAGATGAAAAGCTCTTACAAAGTAAATTTCGCTGAAAAGGATAACCTTACTTTAAATGAATCCGATTTCTCGCAGTGCAGTATCGTAACTCTGACAACTCCGAGGCGACTTGCCATAAATTAACACACATGACTGGCGGTGGTGGTGGTGCAGTGGTGCTGTGGTGCCAGTGGTGGAACATTTTCATTTTACTTTTGTTTGTTTGATTTTTGGCTTTTTGCAGCTAGCTGACAGTTGGTCCTTCCGACCTGGGCAAATTAAAAATGTTTTTTGCCACCCCCTCACTCCACCCCGTTTTTTTGACTTTCGTCTTTGATGTCCCCCGTTTGCAATGCTATTTTTTCTGTTTTGGTTTTCAATAAATTTTATTCAGTTTTTTATTTTTCGTGTTTAACTTTGTGTGTTTTATGCTGCTTATTTGCTTTTATCATTTGCATTTTGTAAACAAAAAAACATTTGTTCGTTTCGCGCTTAATTGGCGACACTAATAAAATACCCACAGCTAATAAATATAGCAAAAAGAGGGAGTAATATTTAGTTTTCTGGGATTCCTTAGATGAAATACGCTCGCTTATCAAAATATAATGCTTAGGGCTATGAAAAAAAATGCATGTATATATATCTAGGGCTAGGTCTATATTTTAAATATGCGTGTGTATCTTTAGTTAGGCTACAACTAGGATAATTAGACCGTTATACACTTAGAAGTACACTTAGCACAATTGAACTGACGAATTGAATACGTTTACGCTCTCCTTTGTTTTTTTTTTTGTTTTTGTTTTTCTTGTTTTGTATATTTTCATGGGCGTTTTGAGATGTATGGGCGTGTCATAAGTTAAGGCGACTGTCAAGATCTAGCTTCTATATTTATTTAACCATATAACGCACTATCGAAATATAAGTTCTAGCTTAGAGTTCCGGGCGACAAAAGATAATGCTACATAATTCAGAAGAAGTTGATGGGGGCGGGGAATTACCGATCTGAAGGGCAACCCACCCCCGACTTAAATACTATCAGGTACTTTGGCATTTCGTTTGCTTACTCGCTATCCATTCAACTGAATGTCTTTATGCTTGTATATAGATTCTTTAACATTTAGCATATACTATATCTGTGTATACATAATTGAATTTGTTTTTTATATTTTTTGCGGCGTTTTCAGGGGCAGTTGTTTTGGGAAAAGAAAAGATTTTAAGAGTTTAGATAGATGTATTTTAAATTTAAAACGGTTACTGAGTTTAAGGACTGGTAATATGAGAGTTTAATATCATATTGAATAAAACTGAAAAAGTATTGTATGTATCGCAAGTAAAAATGAAATAAAAGCTGAGAACAAGTTTAAAACGGTTCTCACTTCCCACAATCAGCCCCCGGAAAACCCAATTTTGTAACTGGAGGTTAAATCACCAATCAGTTAACCATTACATTAAGGCGTTCTCTCAACAAGCAGTAAAACTCTCTAATCTTTTAAGTATTTTGTTTTTTTTCTCTTCTGTAAATGCCTAACACTCATTCTTTGAAGCTTAGTCTCTCTCTAGATCGAACTGGGGATTAGCCTACTATAAGATCCTTAGGCTAAGAACACAAAAACGACAAATACAAAAAAAAAAGAGTACCCTAGACCTAAGGACTAAAGAAATGCTGATGCTACGATTACGGCTATATAATCAGATGTGTGTGAGCTAAGAGCCTAAACCTAAGCAATTCGAATTTTTGGTAGCTGAAAAAACGCGCCACCAACAGTGATACCCCCCTAAAGCGGCCCCGGTTCCTTGTGAGATCAGTCTTGGCGTGGCTCAGTGGGTGGAGTAGTCGTCGTTGGCGGATGGCGGTGGTGGGGCGGCGCCCGCACTGGTCCACCCTAAACGGCGGTGGGTGGTGGCAGCAGCGAGGAGTTGGAGGACCGCAGATAGGGATTCCCATAGATGGCGCTGTAGCGGGGATCCACGCTCAAGGCCATCGAGCTGGGCACCACCACGTGGGTGGTGGTGGTGGTGGCTGCGGCGGTGCTCTGATTGCTGCAGCTGCCGTTCGGCGACGAGCTGACCACCGAGGCGGTGGTCGACTGCAGACTGGGCAGCCCGTTGTCCTGCCGGATCTCCCGGGAGCCGATGATGCTGCCGGTCAGGCTGCCGCCGCTGCTGTTGGTCAGGAAGGTCATCGGCAGGGTCGTCGTGGCGGTCAGGGGGTTGGAGGTCTGGTGGTGATGGTGGTGGCCCTGGTGGCTCTGCTGCTGCTGCTGCTGCAACTGCATCTGGTTCTGGTGGTTGTTCTGCAGAATGGTCGAGCTGCCATTGGACTTCGTGGAGCAAGTGGTCAGATACTGCGGCGGCGGACTGTAGTGCGTACTGTAGTCGCCGTAGGGCACATAGCCGCCCGAGATGTCCACCTTGAGGTCACTGTAGTTCGAGGTGCGGTCGCCGGCCTCCAGTTTGCAGCTCACGCCGCCGTTCTTGGTGATCTGGTGCTCGCTAATCACATCAGCCGGTGGCAGCTTGGTGCGCTTCTTGCACTTGATGTAGACCACCACCAGGATGGTCAGGACCAGCAGGAAGGCCACCACCGAAATGCCGCCCACAATCGTCATCAGTAGGGAGACGCTCTCTGCGAAGGAAAACAAGGGAAAAGGGGGGAGGGTGGGTTAAAAATGGTGATATAAAACAATAAACTATAAAACTATCTTCTAAACTTCATGTTTTGATAATATCTTGTATCTTCCGGAAATGTGTTGAAAATTTAATGATACACACAAACTAATAAATTGGAAACTATCCCTTTAGTTTAATCAAATACCCGTGAAGACCAAATACAAGATACCCCAGAACTAGTAATTTGTATCCCTTACGTTTAAATAAATACCCTAAAAAGTCATAATCCATAGTTATTTAAAGTAAATGTCAGATAATAATATTATTGCATTAATAATATATTGTTATAAATGACAACAAAAAATTTTTTTGTATCCTATCAATATACAAAATATACTAAAATATACATTAACACCCGAAACCCCAAGTCTGTATGTTTTAAAAATTAATTTCAAAATAGTCATCCAGAATTAT